AGCGCAGATAGCCCTCGTGTAGCTTTGCGCGAAAATTCAAAACAAACAAACAGCTAATGATTAAACTTCAAGAACAGTATTGTGTAAGAATATTTAAAGTTTCTTGGGAATATAGTTATATTCTGGTCCTTGGTGTTTTAGCACAAAGATACACAGTGAGGTACCTGCGATCAGTCAACTGCGGGGAATCGAATCGCGGAATATAGCACTATAAACCCTCAAGCTGACTGCTGAGTCACCAAAGGATGAGAGGGGGGGCTTAACAAAAATATCTCAAGCTGACTGATAAGTCACTAAGGGATGAGAGGGGCTTAACAACAACATATTAAGCTGACTGCTGAGTCACTAAGGGATGAGAGGGGGCTTAACAAACATATCTCAAGCTGACTGCTGAGTCACTAAGGTATGAGAAGGGATTAACAAAAATATTAGAATAAATTTTTATTCGATTTAATTCAATTTTATTCAATAATAAATTAATAACTTTAAAACTTTTATGTTTTCTGTAAAAGATACATGTTCATTGTTTTGTTTTATTTAATAGTTGTTACAGGTATGTAATTTAAGTGTCTAACAACCCCTGAATTACATACCTTCAACAACTATTAGTGTAGATGCGAGTCAATTATGTAACACATTGACAAGTGGTAGCACGTCCAAGAGTCATCTCGGAAAAGGGCCTGGCATGGCCAGGTGGTCAGGGCGCTCGACTCGCAATCCCCGTCCCACCAAACATGCTCGCTCTTTCAGCCGTGGGGGCGTTATAATGTGATGGTCAATCCCACTATTTGTTGGTAAAAGAATAGCTCAAGAGTTGGCGGTGGGTGCTGATGATTAGCTGCCTTCCCTTTAGTCTTACACTGCTAAATTAGGGACGGCTAGCGCAGATAGCCCTCGTGTAGCTTTGTTCGCTGTAAATGAATTGTTTCTTTATAGACTAATAATTTCTGCAGTGGCTATGAATCAATAATCCCATACATACTTGGATATTTTCTTCCTATTACTATAGAACTGAAGTTTCTGCATATCAAAAATAGTTGGTATCATATGAGCTTGGGTGAATGAGAGAAAGCCTATTTTAAAAGCTTTAAATCCTCTAACCGTTACATAATATTTATTTGTAGTAGCTTTCAAGTATCATTTTTGATAATAGATGGCGCTAGTATCACATTGTTATTATAACTGAGCCTAATCAAGTATCAAGAAACTAACAGTATTATAACTAAGCTTAATCAAGTATCAAGAAACTAACAATATCATAACTGAGCTTAATCAAGAAACTAACAATATCATAACTGAGCCTAATCAAGTATCAAGAAACTAACAATATCATAACTGAGCCTAATCAAGTAACAAGAAACTAACAATATCATAACTGAGCCTAATCAAGCAAAGAAAACTCACAATATTATAAGTGAGCCTAATCATGTGACAAGAAACTTAGTGAAGCAACGAAAAACTGAACATATGACAACTGGGTCTGTCAGGTAACGAGAGGAACTGACAATATGGCAACTGAGTTTGATTAAGCAGTAAAGAATTAAAAACACGAAAGAGAACTTTTCTAGGTAACGAGAAACTGACAATATAACACATGAATATTTGCAAGTTATCTGGAACTGGCACTATGAAAACTGAGCCTATCAAGCAAAGAGGAAGGGTTATGATAACTGAGCCCGTCAAGAAAAAAATAACTTATAATATGATAACGAAGTTTGGTTAAATAACAAGCAGTTAACATCATGCCAAGTCAAATAGTTAGGAATTAACAAAACCTAAACTTGTTCAAGTAATGAAGAGTTGACACTGTGACAATTGAGCTTATCAAGTATAGAAGAATTTATAATATAGCAGTTGAGCTTGGTCAAGTAACGAGCATCTAACAATATGACAGTTGAAATTATATGTGGACTTGTTCAAGTAGCAGAAAGTTAAATGGTTAAACTGTTGAAATAATGATCAATCAACATCAGTGCATGATTGTTGAATATGATCATTTCGGTGGATAGTTAGCTAAGGTGTGATGAGACACAGTTTGAAGAGCAGTAGAGATATTTTTGTGTGTTTGGGGGATGGGGGATTTTCTGTTCATAAAACTTTTCGATCAAACGTTGTCCTCATGTAGAGAAATAATGCCAGGGATCATACTACCAACATTGTCATGGACTACTTTGACTAAGAAATCATAATATTATGGATTGGCTAGCAGGGAGTCCTGGCTTAAATCCCATAGAGCACTCCAGGATTTGCTTGGCCGCTGTATTTGTCATCACCTTAACACATCACAATGGTCAGAGAGCATTGCACTTACTAAAATCAGAGGCAGGATTCGCTATAACATAGTATGTCGACTGATTTGAAGTGTCTATTTTTGCCTAATGTGACTCAAACAATTTGATTTAATTTGACTCTAACCCTGCCATTTTAAATTTGAGAACTCACATATATAAAAGGCTGTATTGATAAACATATTTTCAATGAGACGTGTTTATTAAACACATTTTTTGAAAAATTATGCTATTAAAATATTTTCTAATTTCACTTCTTGTTTATTTGATCGAGGAAAAATATGTTTCAAAATATTTTCGCTTACGTTTTCGAAGTATTTTAGTTTCTGAGGGTTAAAGATGTCTGAGTACATAACCTAAGATTTAGCCATGAAGATTCACATGATAGGGTGACTTTCGTCTTTGCAATTACTGCACATGAAATGCAGGGAATATGGTCTTATTCAATATGCATGAATTAAACCTTTCATAGGCTTTACACACAATATTATAACAATACCAGTTCACAAATACAACAGGTGTAAGTGATAAGAATACTGGAAGTTAATCGATCTATATAATAACATAGTTCCAGGTCACATGTTATTGTAACAGTTTTTGCGAATGATGGCGAATCAGTCTTAGACCATATATCTTGATATGGCTTGTAACCTTTTGGCTTAAGAGCCTTTGTCAATTTTAATTCATTGTTTGTTTCCTTGCTTAACTGTACCAGGAAATATTCCTAGCTTAACTGTACCAGGAGATATTCCTAGCTTAACTGTACCAGGAGATATTCCTTGCTTAACTGCACCAGGAGATATTCCTAGCTTAACTGTACCAGGAGATATTTCTAGCTTAATTACAACGGCTTTTTGCGCCAGAAGTTCTCTTTCACTATCATAACACTTATTTTTCGGATTGGTTTGGGTTGTGATTTCGGAGTCCATTGCTGCCCTAATCGCTCAGGTGTGTGACTTTTTCCACTTTCATGGATAGTACTGATTGGATCTACATTGTTTAACAATATTGTCATGTGAATATCTTTTCTTGGGGAAACTATAACACATTTGTCGAGCCATGAGTTTATCCGTGGCCTGTTGTACTTCGAATGATCAAGGAGTTCGTAGTAAACCAATCATATAGCTGTAAAACAGAATATATACACGAATGTCGACACGGCAATGTATTAGCATGTATAAATCGTATTTATAAAATATGATTTATCTTCTTCATTTTTATATTAAACATCGATCTCTAGTCATCATTTATTTAATGTATGTTAGTTACTTGTATCTTTCTTATTGTAAA